TATATATGTGCGTGTGTGTGTGTGTGTGTTTGTGTGCTTGTATTCGTATATACATATATACATATACATATGTATGTATATATAGAATCATATATATATATGTGTGTGTGTGTGTGTGTGTGTGTGTGTATATATATATATATATATTGATATAGTGGAATATATATTTCTATATGTACACTAATACATAAATAATTATGTGTGGAAGGGCGTATATGTTATCTTTCTATAATTTCTATGGTGTATCCAAGTTGCATATGCAAGAATATAGGTAATTACACACTGCTTTAATACTCTTTGCCATACAAGCAAGCAATTATCACAGACTGGTTTTTAGGTGCGTTACTCTGAAATTACCTAACAGAGCCAATTGGTCTATCACTGTATATAGGATAACATTCTATCCGGCTCAAACTGCAACTGCAACCAATACAGTACAATATACAGTCAATTATAGAACGCACTATGCATGCTGGATACCCAGGTAGTTTGACATACAAGGATTGGAGGAGTCTCCCATTGTTCAGTTCCAAACTGGGATTAGCATATGATGAATTGTACTTGCCCCTTTTAACCCATAATAGACCAGAAATGTGTACACCAACGTGAGGCGAGTTTGTCGGATTGCCTTATCGGCATGTTAATTAGAAACCTACTCTAGCATATTATTTAGTATCCATTTCTAAGCCAATTCTTTGTAAGTAACAGTGATACGTAACAGCAACGTTTATAATATTTAACTATCTGTTCTGCTCTGCTCTACCGATGTTCTGCGTATCAAGCTATGTATCTTCAAAAATCAAAATGCGTTCGTATGTATGTATCCCTGCCACAGCCATACTTCGCTATACTTCTCAACATGATACGTACACCATACAGATTATAGACCAATATATACTGACACCATAATACACTATAAAAAGCAATCTGGAGCTTTTCTATGACACCACAACGGCACAAACTCACAAAACAAAAAGTATTATTACTCTGACATCGAACAAAAAGATTATGTAGAGAGAAAAAAAATTATTTAAAAAAATATATTTAAAAAAAACATATAAACAAAAAACAAATTATCATTGACGGTCATATTTACATTGGACTGACATTCTGGCACCCAAAAAAAAATAAAGTGATGACGACTGCTAATATTTTTTTGGTTTTATTAAAAATAAATTATACGTTTTATGAACGCGATATATTTACGTTAACTTCTAAATGTGTTTAGAGTACTATGTATCGGATTTTCAACTGGTTTTTGGGTGTAAATATGTAACTCTCAACTTCTAAAAGCGAGTATTATTTTTTCCGTATATATAAAAAAAATAGCGCGTACTGTACATACAAAAATCAATCATACTTTTTGCGTTTACGTTCAACGTTTACTGCATAGAAACCGAATGGGCGTTAAATAGGACGACCGTCTGTTCTCAAAACTGCTCGTCACAGTGTTCTGCTCTAATCACACAGCCCACACCGTCCACGGGGGCGCGTTAGATGATGCCATCGTAAGATATTCATGATGATGTGTGTATATATGGTCTTTTAGACAGATATGTATTATTTGAATATATGTATACATATATATATATATAAATTATATATGTATCTATATATATTTATATAAGTATACACATATATATATAATATATATATATATATATATATATATATTATATATATATATATATAAATATATTTATATGTACATGTATGTAAAGAAGATATATAATGATACATATATGTATATATATCCATATCTACTGCTGATACTTTCATTATAATATATGTATGGCCGGTCTAGTAAAGTGTGAAGATCTAGTGCTTATATACTAAATTGAGGTGAATATCTATTTATAATCCTATATATAGTGGGACAATAAAATTAGTTCCTATATTTTCTTTCATATCCATTATGGTCGCGGAAATGAAAGCCGAAGAGAGGGTTGCACTGATAACGGGTGCGAATACAGGCATCGGCCTGTCACTGGTGAAGAGACTGTTTGAGTCCACAGAATACAATGCACTGGTTTTGACGGTATGTTTATATATCTGAGTTACCATTGGGGACTATATAAGTATTTAGCTTGCCATTGAATTAGAAGCTTAGGGGACGAGATTTCGGTTATCATCCAGACTAGTATTATTGCAAGAAAAGGAGAGACCAGAGACACTCACGACATCTCAGTTTTGTAATATGCGTGGCCTTTCACGGACCAGCACCAGTGTCCACAGCTGAAATCTTTTATGATATGAACGGGAGCATTGTTTCATTCTGGAACGACGTTTACAGGAAACGACGTCTATTTACAGACTAAAGTTCAGAACAACTCTTGATAGTCGCATTCATATATTAGACATGTATGGTGTGAGCGTTTATTTGAACGATATTCCGTCTTTATCAGGCATTTTGCAATTCCCGGCGCATTACCTACACATACGTGAAGAGTCCTCTATACATACACACATATATATATATATATTTATATTATATATATATATTATATATGTATGTATATATATATGTATGTGTGTGTGTTTGTGTATATATATATATTATTTATTTATGTATGTATGTATGTATGTATGTATCTGTATAGAGAGATAGACAGATAGATATTTACTTATATTTGTAAATATGTACATGAATATATATTTATATATATATGTATGTATGTATGTATGTATGTATGTATCTGTATAGAGAGATAGACAGATAGATATTTACTTATATTTGTAAATATGTACATGAATATATATTTATATATATAGTATATGTGTATGTGTGTATATATGTAAATATGTATGTTAGAGTATATATATATATATATATGTATGTATGTATGTTTGTGTTATGTATGTAAGTACGCTAGATTGTATATATGTTTATATATATATGTATGTATGTATTTATGTATGTATGTATCTATATATATATGTGGATATCTATATTTATGTTTATGTATAGCTATATATATATTTGTATGTGTGAGAGTGTGTGTATATATGTATGTATATATATATCTATGTGTGTATGTATATATACATATATATGTATACATATATATATATATATATATATATGAATGGATATATATATATATTTATATATACGTTTAGCGTACACGCACATGTGCGTTGTGTGTATATGTCTTGGTACTGGTACACAAGTACAAAGTATATGTTTGCATGACTTGACTATTTTCAGTTGTCTTTATCCATGAAAGTGTGTGTATATGGAGTTTCGTACCACATCAGATTGTAGCAGAAGTGCCGCACCCTCAATACACCATGTATCTTGAAATTGAGATTATGTCGCTGAAGTTCGGAAGTGTGCGATCCACAAGTCATCGCTGGTGTCCTCCATTTTCATCAACCAAACAGGCTGTACTGGCATGTCGCAACTTAGACAAGGCCAAGGCCGCGCGGGAGGAAGTATTAGCCGAGTTTCCCGAAGCCATTGTCGAGGTATGAGGGTCCTGATCTGATGTGCTATTCAATTACGATATCATCCTGTATTCTCTTTAAATTCTGTTCCGTTGTCGTAAAACGGGTTCCTATGTATTGTGGTACACTAAGTGGCATATTCACCCAATTTATATCGCACAAAACTTCCGCCCAACAGATTATACAATGCGATACAAGTAGGCCAGAGTCCATGACGGCAGCAGCAAAGCTAGTGCTAGGGAAGTATGGACGCCTGGACTGGCTCTATTTAAATGCTGGCATCATGCCGGTCGAGAAATGGGGAATAAGCTGGGATGTGTTCATGACGACTGATATCAAGCATATCCTACACGTACTGTCGACGTGTAAGTTGCATTAGTGAAGAGTCTCGAGTATTTGTTTGTGGTCAGGCATGATCATTTCCCATTAATGTGACTATGTTTGTCTGAATCACCTCTTTATCTGTTTGCGTCTCGGCGAGAAATTGTTCGTACATATGCGAGTGCGCGGAGCTCCTACGTTACTGGGTGCAAGTTTCTTGTGCCGGTGACTGTTGGACTACTCAAATGCTATGAATGAGCGCCGATTTTGCCGCAAGTCTTGGGACTTCTTCCGCTTATGGCTATCAAGAAACGCATCTCACGCTACCGTTCGTCATTTGTAGCTTTGTCGCGTTGTGTGTTTCTGGTCCGTTCTGGCCTGTCGGGAAGAACTGTGCTTTCTCAACACTTCATAAGACGGCATGTGGTCTACGCCAGGTATCCGCCCCAAATCATTTGGCATGTGCTCGAGAGGGGTGCTCGGGTTGTATCTGACGATCCACATGCTGATGCGACTTGCAGTTGGTGTTTGTGTTGGCGCGATCTAGGTGCACACGCGTGGCACTGTACGAATGTTCTGACACTCTGTTGTATACAATACAGCGGATGGCCTGTTGAAACAGGAAGACTGGCGTGCGGGGGATATGCAGGCGGTGTTCGCAACAAACGTCTTCGGTCACTACTTGCTTGCTATGCTTCTTAAAGATCTGCTGGTGAAGAGCCAGGTATAGTGTTTATGTGTTTTTAGTCCCGTGAGTTCATGTGGTCATGCAGCGATACTTATTTTTATATGTAGTATATATACAAATATTAGGTGCGTGTGTGTGATCGCCTAAGGTATTTGTTGAATATACTAAATTCAGATGTATGAAAATAGTTCCTGCAACAAGACCAAGCCGTTTATTTGCCTTAATTAATATTATACTTTGTGTTGTTCAAATATGCATATGTTCATATTTATGTGTTTATCTGTTGCGGACATATTCTATGTATTCGCACTACAATTCAATAAACGTGGTTGTATACCTTATTTCAACCTTTTTTTAATTAAATTTACTTTCACATATCTGTAGTCATATATATATGCATATATATATATATATAACAAGTATACTTTCCACTGGTTTTCTGATGGATCTATGATTACCAATACATTAAAGATATACCGATATACCTCGCGAATTTACAAAATACGTGAATGTATGCCAGAATCAGCAGAGTACAACCATTTCGTTTTTAGTTGCTGTCTGTGTCCTTCATATGTGAGTGAGGGTCGACCCAGCCTTGCTTTACAAGGTAGTTATGTAAATAGAGCTAAGCATTAATATCTTATTCATACCAACTTACGTGACTGTACACAGGGGCGTATAATCTGGACGAGCAGCAATGCGGCAAATACGAAGTCTTTCAAACACGAAGATATAGAACACAAAAATGGGTATGTGATATTCTTTTTTTCAGGTTTCTGGTGGTGAAGTCGATGTACTCTAGTCGTTAGTTAGAGATGGGATATTCTCTGGTGCTTTATTTAGAGCTATGTGCAATTCCAATCGGTATTTAGACCATGATCTAGACCAAGTAGATAATGGTCTGAATATGTCTGGACATACCCGATTTTGACGGTTGTACCAATGGTGGGTTGTGATATAAATCTCGCCACAGCTACATACACTTGTGTACCACCAATTAAAACATACCGTCGTACCATCACGCTTATGTTGAACGGTATGCTTCCAGATGCTTATGCAAGTCATAAAAACTGCAACTTCGGGCAGTAGTGATTCTTTGATGGTATCACACACTTTATGGAGTTTGTACCGAACAAATTCGTTCGTTTGCTGTGACCTTATTCCATGCCCTTTATAAACCACGTGTTCATCCACGTGCGCGCTCTATAGATCCGATCCCTACGGCTCATCAAAGTACGCTGTGGATCTGTTGAATGCCGCGCTTAATCGAGAACTCAACAGCAAAGGGGTGTACTCGTACACGTGTTGTCCGGGTTTAGTTATAACCAATGTCACCCTGGGCATTCTGCCTTGGTGGATGTGGACCTACATCCTGTTTCCCTTCCTACTAATTGTACGTGAGCTTGAATAGATCTTTGGGGTTGCTTCTCCGAAGTGTTTTTGTGTGTGCGTCACCGTAAAGGCCAGGTGCTTTTGTGTATGTTTAATTGTTGGACTGTGTGTGCACGTGTTTTATCTGTGGCGTTTGCACGAAGCCAACTCAATGGATACGCATGTGTCTGTAAAGTGTTAGGAAGTAACAGAGTCATGCTGTCTCTAAGTTGCTTCGAGCACTCGTGTTTGTATTCAGCTGGCCAAATCAGGATTTCTAGTTCATTTGTAAACCCTAAAACCCTACTGTCCTAAACTCTAAAACATATATTTACACCCTAGAATGGATGTACGCTTTTTCAGTATATAGATATACACTCTTCCAGTGCAGATTAAGCTGAGTTCAAATCCCTATTATCACTTTTGATTAGTATATATGAATAGGCAACTAGACATGTCTCTCTCTGTTTTTTGGGACAGCACGTCTGTTTTGTTTTGTTTTTCTGGGTACAAGTATCCTCGGATGTTCGTTCACTAGTTTGCTCATTTTCTCCCTTTCCATTGACATTACACACAGTACCGTTGTATCGAGCCTATGTATGTGCTACACCCCTACAACGGAGCCGAAGCATTGATCTATCTATCCGGTAAGTCAATATAAAGCAAATACTGAGTTGAACTAGTATTTTTAATCACACTTACAATACTATCTGCAACGGGTACAGTCTGAGGCGAGCGAATATCGTTAGTGAAAGTGAGGTAGTCTTGAGGGTGGTATGAGACACTGATTCTGTGTGTTCACGCCCAGTCGCATTGGCTGTGGCACTGCCCAATGCAACAGTGTGACATCGCAGGGGTATGCATCTCACGTTTTGTCAGATATGCGTTAAGCTATGGTTGCGCTGAGATATAAATTGCGGCTCGTGCACGGGTGTGGACGCCAGAGAAATAATGAATGACACGCTTTGCATCTGCATGTGTGTGTATAGGGCTGAGCTTCTTAGTAATGTGTGTTGGCCCCTCTTAGTTTGCTTTGCTTGTCGTCTCATACCCGAATATGCACTAAACCCCTTCTTCGTTATATCCGCTGCAGGTCTTGACTTGCCACGCACACCTGGAGTGCTTATAGATACTAAGGCGAGGGGTAAGAGTAGTCCGTATGAGCGACCGTCCGTAATCACTCAAGTGGAGGACGAGGGTGACCTGCCCTCGGAGATTTCGGGGCCGCATAAAGACCTGGTTTATATGGACCCGTTTAGCAAGTATTACAGGTATCGCTACTGTCTGACCCGTACTTTAACCCGAGTAGACGTATGCTTCCGCATGGATCACTTGGCTGAATGTATTTCTCGGTAGACGTATACGTACGCATGGATGACTCGAATGAATGTATTCGCATACGCTCGTGTGATGTCGTATTCCGGTGTGTCTCGCTGTATGTATAGCTGCGAAGTGATATCTGATAACCGCAAGGCACTTATAATGTTGGTCACAGACCCATTTTACAAGTCTGCTCTCAACTCACTTTACTGCGTGTTTTCTACACGCCGGATACTAAAGTAGGGTTCTATACATTGTCTTCCCCACACTCTCCAGTCGGACGTCTTTCTGGGGTGAGAGATACGTGATGTGCAAACCCTATCCAGGAACGGAAGCAGACGGCACGCGACTTGTGGTAGAGTTGGAGAAGATGGCCAAACAGCGCAAAGTATTATAGGCAATGCATAATTAGGCACCTACCATGAGTCAAAATATATCAATGAGAGACGAACGATGCATAGCAGTGTGTAGACGAGTACGTTGATGTGGGATAAAGAGATGTGATGGTGCATGCCTCGCCTCATTGGCGTTTCAAGCGGTGGGAAGCCCAGATGCAAAGGGTGACATTAACTCCATCAGGAGCTTGTGTCCTTGTCCAAGTACATGAGGTTAGAGTCGCTCGCAGACTATCTGTATCTGAAAATCTACATCGACATAAAAACAACTCTCCATCGCCGTGCATGGTATCTGTATTACTATTGGTTTCGCCAGAGTATGTGTTAGAGTAGTCCTGGTGAACGTCTTGTGAATTAACTTACCGAAGGAGTGGTGACTAGGCCCAATTCCCGTGGTGTGATCGTTAGATGATGAGTCTATTTCATTTTCTATCATAAGAGACAATCGCGGAATTCTAACAACCAGGGGGTAGGGGCCACAACTCTGCAATCCCTACCACTCCCACAACTGTCTTTCAGTCAATTACCTCTCCCACTACGATGTAGGCGACGACACGCTCACAACTGCAAGTGCAATTTCTTCACTCGGTTGGGGTGTGCTTGGCTCATGAAATGTGCCTCAACGCACCCAGCACATGCTACACGACATACACACAGTAGCAGGTAACATCTGTAGGAGCACAGCTTATAAACCAACTTACACACAACGTGGCAGACAAAGTACGTACATTGTACATCACATGTAGCGTGATGCTGTATTTATGACCAATGTGTTTAATCGGCTAGTCCTGGATCGCGCGGAAGATTCAATATACCTAATAGTTTATGTGAACGATACATATCCTTATTGTAGTTTAATAATGCACATACATCCGTAAATATATATATATATATATATACGTGTGCGTGCGTGTGTATGTGTGTGTATTTATGTGTATACTTTAAAAGTATTCCTAACTGCAGGGTAGTACTGTGTGTGTTGTTGAACGCACCACGGAACGTTTTCGCTAGCGTTGAGCCTGCTGTTGAGGCGATAACGGCTGTGCATGACATCTTGGAATATAAAACAGTGTGACTGTCCGCTGCAGTGTGAAGTTATGGCAAGGAATCACCTGTGTGTAATTGATTTGTTGTATCTGAAGTGCGTATATAAAGCACCACTCGAAAGCATAGACTAACCACCGAGGTAAAAAGACAAACCCGATAAAACCCTCGCCCAGAGTTTCAATCCCGGACCCAAAGCGACACATACAACGCCCGAGGGCGTGTTTACCGATCACCGTGATCAAATACCCATACAGCGCGTTCTCAAATCACATGACGTCCATTCCATGACCCTCTGGATAACGGGGTACATCCTCTCATCCTAGGGAATTCATGCTCCCGTATATCCCGTCTGCAGTGGGACATGACTATCCATGCATGTCTACGGGCTTATTGAGACTTCTTCCGCGTCGGTATTGATGGCTACGCGATGTGCATTGAAACACATGAGTCCTCACATATGTACGAAACACGATCCTTCGCACCAGCTCGGAGAAGTAGAAAACGTTTCTCGGCATGTATGCAGTGAATGTAGCATCTGTTTTGATGTACTGTAAGACTATGTATAAATGTGTAAAGCTTGCTCATATGAAACATTCCCCGTTGACCTCTAAAATACAAAAGGCAAGACACTATAAATTATCATGATAACCAATACTATATGTCCATTATGATATGTCGTTGATACTATACGTGAATAATTTATTGGCAAAATACGTATACCAACGCACATGTACAATACCTGAAATATTCTTGTGAATGTAACAAAAGTATGTATTAAAACAATTATACGAACACGTCCTTCAGCCATGTTTTTGTAAGCAGAATACATACGAAGACCAATATATCAATTCTGTGTCGACGTCGTGAACCATACCAGCTGCCATATGTACGTATCGACATGACTTTTTTCATAGGCTCATGGCCATACATGTTCACTATATGTATCTCATTTGTTTTTTTTTAAACACATCTAGTTTGGAATGACAATACATACTGAGTACTGATAAGTCGAGGAGAATTTGACGGGCATTCTTATCGCCACGTGAATCTGATATTCTATAATCATTTGTTCGCATATCGATGTGTTATTTACTGAAAAATACTATTGTTATATATCTTTTGGACTACATCATATATTTTTCTTTTATTGTGGTACGCTATCTCTAGAGTATACACTGGTAGCGTGGTCAGATTAGACTCGAGATGGCTGAGAGGAAAAGTCAAGCCCTTCCGCTAAAGGAAGGATTCGGAGTGTTTGGTAGCGAATCTGAGGGCGAAGCGGAGGAAATACTAATTGATTCTACGGCACAGCATGTGTTGATGCGGGACGGATTCGACGTGTTTGGTAGTGAAAGCGAAGACGAATATGAGGGAAATTCTGTAACCACACCACATGGGAAACAGGGATTGGACATCGGGCTTGAAGCTCAGGCAACAACAAGCGTCACCTCAAATAAATGTCTGCAAAACACGCCGATATATCTAGCCGATATGGATGCATGGCATGACATAACGTCACAACCACTGCAAACAGGACATTGCAGGTAAGTACCGCTTATATATTCTGGTAACAACTGAATGAGTTATACGCTGCATACATGGACTCTATGCCTTAGGGGAAGGATATAGCGCTCTATGTGTAGCTGGCCGTGATCTATGTACAGCCAGTCAATTACATACCACTTTTCCATGCTAGTTGGGCATCCTGAGATTCCAATTTTATCTACGCTTGTATATATATATATTTATATTTA